TTTCTCGAAAGGGGAAGCCAATGCCGCGAAGGGTTTGATGGCCCAGCCGCCTGTTTCTAGCTTGAGAGTTGTATCGTCGAAGACGGTGAGAATGTTGAGGAAGGTGATGGCGGGACCAGAAGCAGCCAGTGTCAACAGGTGGTCCCGGTTCGTAGGGGAGAGGTCGTCATCCCCTGCGTAGACAACTTGAATAGGTAGAGTAGAGTTGAGGACAGAGCGAAGAGAGGCAATAAGGTGAGCGGCATAACGGAGGGTGTGGTCGCTGGTTGGGATGACAATACCGGCAGAGTCAGGCTCGAAGGAAGCGCGGAGGTCTTGTACTGGGTGACGGGAAGATCTAGATTGGTGGGACTGAGTCTGCTTGGGAGGTTGCAGGAAAGGGTATTGCGCGATGGCGACTTCTTCAATGGCGTTGCGTAAGATGGACTTGGTGGTAGAGTCCTGGGAGGTTTCAACTTGAATGAGCCAGTCGCGAAGAACTCGGTTGCGGCGGCCTAGCTCGCCAAACTTCTCTTTGAAGGGTTTCTGGATGGGATAGTCCGCAAAGTATTGCGATAGATCGGTGATAAGACTAGTATCTATCGTGATAGCCTCAACTGAAGATGACTGGGTCGTGGGCTTCTGTCCCTGCCCGAATCCGAGAACTTTGGTCGTTGTTGATGCTGGCGGAAGCAGCATGAAGATGGAAAGTGCAAATATGACTGCGACGGCTGCGAAGATGATCCGAAAGCCTCGCTGGCTCCGGATACCCGCAAATTGGCTCATATTGTGCGAGAGCAGCTTCCTGGACTCATCCCAAGTCATTGTGCAACGAAGAATTCAACCGAGGGAGCATGGGTAGTGTGCGGGAATAGACCGAGCAAGCTCCGTGCAGAGGATTGCTTCTGCCTGCACGGATGACGTTGGCAGCGGGCAAACATGCAAGGCCGGAACCTGATGGGCCTCGCGTCATGACCCGGGGCGATGACATGTTTTTAAAGTGGTGTTTAAATTAATCCATCAGCGACTAGGAGGGACTTTTAGCCCCGGTGCATACGTGGATCCCAGTTTAGGATCAAGCCGGACGCCGCTAATCGGGGGCCGGGAAATAAGGGGTACATGAGACCACTGGCAAAATCAGAGATCATTGCTAATGAGTTGCAAGTCAAGTGGGTGAACAATGGGCCTAGTAGGGCTGAACCCCTCAAGAGGTCCCCTGAGTTCCGTTGATTGTCGGGTCGGCCGGGCATGGATCGGGGGGTCCAGCCAGGCAGACAGACCCTATCGAGAAGAAGCTAAACATGCTTTTTCCTGGCTAAGCCTCTCTGGGCCCACCGATTTAGTGGAGCTTAACCAATGGTTATCTACATTAGTCGACTTGCAAGGCTCGTTTCGGGCTTCGATTACTCACGTGCCAGGCTCCTTTGGCAACTTTTTCGTAGGCTCGAGAAGATTTCTGCCGATCGCTGCTCAGGCAGATCCAGCGTTCCGGAGTTCCATTCGACTAAGTGGTCCATTAGTATTTAGTATAGTGAATTCCGAGCATTTCCGAAGAAATCGAGCACAGATACGGGGAGGCCTTTAGAGGCGTAGGTCGTATTTAGGCTTTTGTCAAAGTGAAAGCAAACTCTGTTCTGCAAGCCCGGTCGGGATGCTTGCTAGCAGGGATAACAAGGTAAGCACTAAACTACAGGAAATTCTCCGTCAATTGTGCTATTTATGGCACTACTTATCACCCACCATTCCACTATTACGAGAGTCGTCAATAATCTCTGCCACAGTGGCTTGGCAGATATGCTGGGAAAGTCATGCTTGGGTGCAGTTGGACAGGGCACGAAAATGGCGCAGTCACTCGGCGATTTGAAACATTATAGCATAAAGTGTCATGAATATATATGATTATTAATATGTGCAATGCATCACCACTTTATGCACATGTCAATCGATAACGGATGTCTATTTCACACGCAACACAAGATAATTCAACATGTCTGTCTGTCTGCCGAACCCCAGATACACCAAGGTCTAAATCAAAGGCAACAAGCTGCATCAATTCATCTGCTGCCACAGACGCCTGCCACGTGTCTTCCCTGAAGAGTAGATCATTGTCGAAATCGTCTTTCGGAGACTAAATATCGACTTACCCCACCTCTCCTCATCTGGTGCAGAAAGCGAACCTCGTTCACGATGTTTTTCACATCATTCCTCTTAAATAAAGTCAGGTGTCCATTTCCTCCTCTGGAAAATGCCATCCACCCTTTGCAGCAGATGCAAATTTTTATACTTGAGCGCCGAGTCCCTAGCGAGATACGGCTTCACCGAAGTTAATTCAGAAACCAGCGGACCCCACCTGCAATTTCCAGCTGGGCAACATTCCATTCCTATCGAATTCGACTGTCGTGATGACCTCCCCGATTTACCGGCTCTTAGGGCGTCAGGCGAGGCAGGATGCTCGTTCTGCCCAGCGCTCCGGAGATCGCTGCTGAATGGCATTAGCGAACGTCGTCTTCGCAGCTGGTCCCCGGAAGAGCACGATCGTAAATACTCCACAGTCAAGGTGGTTAAGGTTTCACTGATGGCAGAATTCAGAGCCTCGGACAGCGAGAGAAGTAAATTCGCCGCAATCATAATCGAATGGGATCTACTCAGACCAGGACAGGATCGATTTGCGGGCGACATGACTGGGCCCGATGGCCTAATTTATTTCAAGCTACGTGCACATTTGGGTAGGTTATCGTCGCTTTTTCTCTTACCATGGTCTGAAGTATATGGGCTTCCAACTGGGATATCCTGTATGCTAACTGCGATCAGATGACCCTCTTGCACGCTATCTAGGCATAGCATATCCCCATCCCGATCAAGACAGGCTATCCACTGAAAACACAAAGACAATCCGAGGGCATTTGACAGAATGCGACCAGCACCATAATCATGCCTCCAGCATTATCCACCATGGAGAGTCCATAGCCGACAGGTTGCCTCTCCGGCTTATCCAAATCACTCAAGACCAGGAAGGGAAAAAGCTACGCTTAGTGGAAACCAAAGATCTGAATAGTCATGGTTCTAACTGTCAAGATGCCTCGAACGTCCCTAAGTATGCCGCACTCAGCTACCGCTGGGGCTCCGACGAGTTCCTCGCCACAACCCCCAGCAACCTACAAGCGCATTACCAGGATATCCCACTATCGCCATTCTCAGCAGATGACCCCACAGCGACTCTACCGCCTGGTTTCAGAGACGTCGTTGACATATGCTGCGCATTGGGCATTTCATATTTGTGGATTGACAGCCTCTGCATCATCCAGAAAGAAACGAGAACCAAAGAGAAGGGTCTCCTTGAGATCCAACAGGACCAGTCCCGACGCGATTGGGCCTCGGAGTCGACCAAGATGCACAGCATCTACATGTCATCATACCTGACAATATACTTGACTGCCACGGAGACACCCCTTCAGAAAGTCTTTGATCGGCCTGTTTGCGAATCTAAATCTCTGGTTCCCATTACATACTCCATCGACAACCACCCTGGTATCCACGGCTCATTCTTCATCGAACCCTCACCTTACACAGGTGAACTGGACCACCTTTTCTGGAACGCCTACCTAGCCGCCGAAGATGAACTGGACTCGTCCGTATGGAATACCCGCGGCTGGACCCTGCAGGAACGACTCCTATCACCACGAAAACTCTACATCGGGGTAACTGATATGCTCGGTCTAGGCTTAATTACCTGCCCCTCACCAAAAGATTATGGGCGCGATATCGATCTGGCCAAACGGCCCCGACGCCACAAGTCACTAGATAAACTAGAGATCGGCGGAACATCATCGTCGACGGGCGCAGAAGGTCCCGACAAAACCGAATTATACAAAGCCTGGTACAAAATCGTGGAAGACTATACCTGTCGCGATCTCACCGTCCCAAGCGACAAGTTACCAGCGGTTGCCGGCATCGCGCGCACTCATGCTTTGGCTTTGAACGATGAGTACCTTGTCGGATTATGGGTCCAAGATCTGGCCTCTGGACTTCTTTGGGCCACCCGTAACGCGATCAGTCCTGGGATGGATCGGTGGTTTGGGGAAAGAGAACGTCGTCCAATGATCCCAACAAAATATTATCGGGCGCCGACATGGTCGTGGTGTGCCAATGATGGGGCGGTTGAGTTTCTTGCGAGTAATCTCTATAACCCGAGACCGGAAATTGAGGTTCTCGGTCACGATATAATCCCGCAGTATGCGGGAGACAGTTATGGGCAACTGGCAGTCGACCAAGGGGACCGGGGATATGTGAAGCTCAGAGCGAAGATTAGAGCGGCCCGGATGGAGGCTCGCTTTCAGCCAATACCAGAAGGCATGCTGCGGGCTTTCCCTGGACTGAAGAACCTTGATCCCGAGGAGGAAAATAAAAAGTTTCAATTGCGATATGTCCATGTCTCCGACGGTACTAAAGAAAGTCACAGTGAGACTATATTCCTGGATCATGCAGGGTGCTATCTTGAGGAACAGGAAGTCTACCTGATGATCGTATCGAGAGGTGATGGGAAAGTATGGTCGGAGCCTGTTAGTTACGAAGATGGGGTCCAGTCTGCCGGATTGGTACTGCTGAAGTGTCCACATCAGACGAGATTGCAGTTCAAGCGGATTGGCTTCTATGAACATTTTTATGATTTTGGCCTCACCCCGGTCTTCGATGATTGTGAGCCGCAGACTGTCTTTCTGGTGTGACCATGGCAGCCCTTTGCGGGAATTAGAGATGAAGATTGGTAGACTAGATATTATCGTGTAAGACCTCTATGACTAAACTTGTTTCAACAGTTCCTTACAAGCACCTGCTTGCTCCATCAACCCCAAAGTAGCTATCTATGACTTATGTCCTTCTCCGGTGATCCAGATGATGACTGAAGTTTCTACCAATATACATAATTCTCAGGTAACACGAATGGACTACAACGTACCCAACGAACCAATAACCAATGACGTATATCCTTGACAGAGTACTCTTCATGCCTTCGACTAGCTATCTCAGGATATAGACACGTAGTCCAATGCATCTGCAAAGCTTTCATCCGAGCTGGCAGGACTGCCGGGCTCTTGGAGCATATCTTCCTGTCGCGAGTTGACTCGGGAAGGTAAACAAGAGAAAAACCCAGCCTCCATCAGGCTGTCCAGCGACTCATCCACAACTGGTCGCTGATTAATGATAGTCAGAAGCTCATCGAACGCAACCGCCAACTTTTCCGTGAAATCGGGCCGCTGGCGCAGGTGATCAGAGAAATCCCCATGAGTATATCGATTGTCATACTTCGCCCGGAAATGGTCAGTTCCCGCGAGGATGTTAATGGTCTCCAAATCAGCATACAGCGCGACAATCTGCAAAAGATGCGGTCCCTTGAGACGGGGACAAGAAGAGTACTCATGCCAACGATCAAGGATCAGCCGAAGGACATTGTGGCTGTTATAGGTGATTGCAGTCGTAAGAGGGGTCGAGTCATCGGCAGCAGTGGCATTGATATCTGCTCCATATTCCAGCAGGAGCATAGCAAAACTGGGATTGTCGATACGTGCCGCTTGGAGGAGGGCAGTTTTGCCATCTGTTCCAGAGGCATCTACCTCTGCTCCAAAGTCTAAGAGACTCTTGAGCAATACGACACTTCGAGAATTCCGTGCGGCACAGTTGAGGGGGCTCCCTTTTCTCACTCCGGTGAACTTGGCGGTATCGGGATATGCACCGGCTTCCAGGAGAAGACGAACACTGACAGTATGGCCTTGCGCCGCTGCATTTGAAAAGGGACCTGAGAGTTGCACATCCATGATATTGGGGTCAGCTCCCTGACTTAGCAGAGTGACGATCGCTCGAGTGTCCCCTCTTGCCGCTGCCCAAGCTAGTGGAGTCCGGCCCATTGCATCAACAGCGTTGATATCCTCAGGATGTTGAATAATCTCCTCCTCCAGGTTGTTCATGGATATGCCTAGGATAATCTTGTGAGTCTGGGTAAAATTGGAGTTCTCTATGAACTCATCTAAATATCCGCCTTTTGTTATCGTGCGAAGAGCCTTGACGGCATTGTCTGGCAGCCCCCCTTCGAGAAGGAAATGACAAGCTTTGTTTTTCGGGCTATTGTCGCTTGCAGCGATGGGTCTGTAGTCTGGATCTGCGCCAGCATGAATAAGGAACTCACAAGTCTCATATTGTTTTCCGTACAGCGCCCATCGAAGGACGGAATATCCTCGAGTAGTACTGATGTCCCGCGGAGAGGCGAGGCCATGAGTAAAGAGATATTTCAAGCCCTCAATATCCCCGTTGAGAGCAAAGTTCACGCACTGCGCGGTGTCCGGTACTCGTCTCAGCGTATCCAACTGCAACAGTGATCCAACATTAGGCTGATAGCCCACCTGCATTCTAACAATTGTGGACGACCAGAAGCCGATCGGGAACCAGTACTCCAGGCTGACTTGACTTGCTCGTGACTTTTGGCAGGTATCGAGAGTACATCTCGGACTCAAGGCGGGAATTCCAGAGTATCCGACAAAAAGCCGTTCAACAACCTGGTCAAGGAATGCAGGAGTCGCTGACTTCTTCTCACGATGGCATGCGCAAATGCACTTTGGTCCGCAGGTAACGATGAATGGTGCGACTCTCACACCGATACCCTCCGAGCGCGGGGAAGCGGGTAGCACGGTGGGTTTAGATATCCCTGGCAGCCTTTGACGAGGTTGAGATGCAATGTACGACGAGCCCACCTGGATGGTTTGGCTTTCACTGACTTGAAGGGCCTGCTCGCGAAGCATCTCTTCTACCCTTGCTATGCGCTCGTTAACTGCCACAAGAGCGCCGCTAAAATGGTTTTGCAACGCAACCTGTTGCTGCTGCATTGAATGTGCTGCTATTGTAGAAAACGACTCGATTTCCAGACGGATTTTCATCATATCATGCCTAGCATTCGAGGTCAGCTTCGGCGATAACCCACAATGTAAGACAATCCCATGTGAGGACACTGACGAGTTTGAAGCCCCGAGCATGATATTTAAGCTGCTCTTGATCGTTCGAAGATCATCTTGCAGCACCTGTAACTTGGTCTGCTCCTCCTTCCTCCAGGAAAGAACCAAAGATATGGGCACTCGCCCCGCACGACAGACAGCAGTGAGTTTGAAAACAATAGCCTTCAGCTCATTCAGCTTGGTATATGCCTGCTTCAAGAGGTGGGGAATGGAGGATAGTTCCTTCTCTAGGAAGGTCTGCCGCTTTTTCACCACAAAGGCAACTTCCAGGAGGACTACTTCCAGATCAGCAACCTCATTGTTGACAGCGTGCAGCCGACCAGGCAGACTCTTGTACAATGACCGTAGTTCCGACAACTTGGAACAGACTTCAGCGGCTAATGTTGCGATCGCAATAACGCTGGAACTGATCGATAGTGGATCCATGGTTGGCAGCCGACCGAAGGATGAGCCGCCAGGGGAGTGAGCAGAGGCCGCAGACATTCCGGGAGAAGATTCTAGCATTGGATCCCATGGCATTAGTGGTAGAGAACAAAAGTACCGTTCATCTGATGTTTACTGGTAGCGGAGTTCATTATTTCCGCTCTAGCAGATTGGGTTCGAATCCGAACTTGGCCGGTCTCAGGCGGCTCGACAATCCAATCGTCCAACTCCAGTCGGGTAATATTGAGTAACGTAAATGTACCACCAACGCTAGCTGGGCTTGGGTTGCTAAGGCATCTCTATTATGAGCAGCAAGGGGCTGCGCTTTTTCTGGTAGATTCTGCTCAACTGAGAGGCTGTGGTGGCAGACTGCTGTAGCAGTCCTGATAGCACTTATCGTCCTCCGTCCTTTCGGATCACATTATGAGAAGCGAAGTGGTAGCATTTTAGGTTCAGAGAATGAATTACAGTATTTGTGTTTGGGAAGCCTCACACTTCTAGGTTTGTTCCGGATTAAGCTTCAGTCAAACGCGGATATTCGCGCCATTCTCGTAGACTGGCTAGCAGTACACGAGCCTTGGCTACACGGCCACTCCAGTCAAGATCTCCCACCTGCCCGCAGTCACCTCGACTACAGGTTATCGGCTGATCCCGTGAATAGCGCGATGGTCGGCTACTCTTCTCGGTGCCTGTCTCTCTGACAGCTACTGTTCTGTATGTTGTATGCCATCTGGTGCCGAGAATACCACAACCACGGAGATGAAGTGTGTGTTCCTCCTCGGCTTCCTCCGAAAGTTATATCACCAACATTCCAAAAAGTATCAAGCCAAAATAGCGCAAAGGATGTTAGGGTACTGACCTACCTTTTATGAAGCAATCAGGCAAGCTACGTAAAGATCCGCGAAGACAACAAAAAGGATGCGGTTCGAAAAGCCAAGAGAGGTTATGTAGGACAAGGCTTTGGCCTACAAGAGTATCGCTGCTTTATTCTCTTTTAACTTTCTTTCCTTTGTTACCCCCTTTCTTACAACAGTTTGTTGTCTCCTACCTTCGGGCGCCTGTACTTCGGTCTGCCCCTCAGTTGTGAGACTCCCGTACAACATATCGCAACTCTTTCTTACTGTCCATCTTCCAATACTTGTGTGATTCCGCCTAAATTTTCAACATGAGGTTCGGTCGAAATATTCACCTCCATCAAGTCCCAGAATGGGCGGAGCATCATGTTCCATACAATCGGCTCAAGAGACTGCTGAAGATCGCTGTTGAGAAAGCTACAGAGGAGCAAACTCGTCCCGACTTCTCAGGTTCGTTACTTGAAAGAAACCCAAAATTATGATGATTACGTGTCTTAACTCTATACATGTCTTACCTTTCAATAGATGCGCAATCATGTCTAGACCTGAGCATCGCGGGTCATCTTCGGTTTCGCAAAGAGCAAGAAAGCTATCTTCGAAAGCAAGCAGAGGAGATACAGAGCCATTACTGCATAAGCTTTTGCAATTTCGATATAACTACGGCGTACAAGCTCTCCCAGCTTGACATTGAAATCCTTTGCCAATCGCTTTCTAGGTTTTCTAAGGAAGTTTCTCAACTGCAGCGGTACCAACAATTGGACGTTGAAGCGGTTTCTCGTATCCACACAAAGATTGACAAATATCTGGGTAGGGAGAAAACCCGATCTGCTGGACGAAATGATCTGGACAAATTCAAGGAACAAAATCCATCGAGGAAAGCTCTGACTCGGAATCTTGGATTATGGATTGCTCATCTACAGGAGGCACTTTCAGATCCCAGCAGCAGGCCGGTCTACCCACAATCCCCACTTTATGAGGCACTACGGCAGGATCAACCTTCAATCGTGGTTTCTATGGTAGATGAGTCCTTACAGCAGAGCAAATCATCAGCGAAACTATTTCTCTTCCATCTGCTGGAGCTGGCGGTATATGAACTGCGACCCGATACTGTCTACACTTTGCTATTTGATGTGCTGCCTCAGAACGATATTCCCATTCAGGCTACATTATTAAATCGCTTGTTCACGGTTCTGGGTTTCCGGAAGATGCAACTATCGGCGCCGTATTCCTGTGTACTCTTTTGTAAAATCCGAGATCTGCTCTGCCAGGTGATTGGGGAGCTAGGACCCAGATCAGAGGAGGTTCTGCTCTCGGAAGATACTCTCGGGCGCTTCCCTCTGCACTATGCTGCTTCATACGGTCTTTTGTGGGAGTGCGTGGCAATATTCAATGTCGCTAAAAGCTGGGACAAGGCTTCCAAATGGTGCCTGATTATGCATACTGACAAACGAGACTGTTCACCTTTTGAGGATGCGGCTGTTGGCAACCACCGAGACGCCGTTTCATCTGTTCTGGTTTACTTGGAAAAAGTCCTGCACGCATCCGATAAGGATGACGGAATAGCACCATTGTTCAGTCGAACACTATTTACTGCGTTGCACTACGAGTATGGGGATCTGATTGCGGTCATCTCTCAGGCATGCTCTCGCTTCTGTCGGACGCCCAGGAACTGTGAAGGAGCCAGCCCACTGCATGTCGCCGCGCGTACCGGAAGGGCGGATCGCGTCAAACAACTATTAGAAACCGTATGCGTCTCTGAGCTCAACTCGGTGGAGCCAATCTACGGTTGGACTCCGCTAGTTGTCGCCTGTGTCGAAGGTCACCAGAGTGTCGTCGCTGTGCTTCTCGAGCATGGAGCCGACCGGGACATCAAAGACCACCGCGGTTGGACAGCACAGGAGCATGCCGCTTTTCGGGGACATCTTGCTTTGGCGAAGGGAATGACAGGGCCATCCAAGTGGGAGTCCGGTACCGATGTGCTAACTACCGCATCATTGGCGCAGCAGGATGACAATGTCAAGGCTCTACATCAACGGCCGCAACTGGTGGTTTACCTTGGCAGCTTGCAGGATGGAAAGCAGGTGAACCCATTTGAATTTCGAACACCATCACTGAAAACAAAGGCCACGAGCAATGACCTTGCACTGAAATTCTCTTCTCCTGGGGATGACTCTTCCCGTCAAATTAACATGTCCTTTCTCGGTGACACAGCTAACGAATCATTGATCTTCGAGCTTCCAACCACGGGCGAGGCAGAACTGCGCCTAGAACTCCTCGATTTAGGCGATGGTCATGACGGCCAAGCAGAGTTGCTTGGTGGTGGTACAGCGCTGCTGATAGACAATCTCAATTCCTTTGGTGAGAACCGGGAAAGTCTGGTGCGCGAGAGAACTATTCCCATTCTCGAGAGGGGGTCATTCCAGGCTATAGCTACGGTGACCTTCACATTTCTTATAATCAAGCCATTTCAGCATCCCAGTATTCCCTCTGTGAGAGAATGCTTTCTCCGTCATGACGATTTTTGTCTCGTAGGACATCGAGGTAAGCATGCAGGCTGAGGTGTATTTGCGATCGCCGCTGACAATGTACAGGCTTCGGACAAAATGTTGCCGGGCATGACTATTTACAGTTGGGAGAGAACACAGTCGAGGTGAGTGTCAGTTTATCCAACTAGACTATATGCTCATTTTTTCCAGTCATTCCTATCAGCTGCCAGTCTGGGGGCTTCCTTTGTCGAGGTAATGTTGAACTTCCGTATTCTAAGTTACTGGTCTAACGTGTTATAGTTTGGTATGTCATTTGTTGTCTATCGTTTTCTATCGTGTACATCATGTACTAAAATACTCCAGATGCTCAATTGACCAGGGACCTTGTACCTGTTGCATATCACGACTTTTCCTTGAGCGAGTCTGGGACTGACGTCCCAGTGCATGATGTGACTTTAGATCAGGTTAGCAGTATTACTTCTACGCACTACTCAAAATGGATCTAACTTTCTAGTTCCTGCATGCGAGCAAGATACAATCCCCAATGGGCTATCCAACATCCATCAAGGGAAGCAGGCACCACCATAAGAATCCACGCTCCCGGTCTCTTACCAGGGGCCACGAGCAAGGAGCGCAACAAATGCAAGAGAGGATGAGACACACCGTAGACTACATGAGCAAGGGTTTCAAGCCCAACACCCGAGGCCACGTTATCCAGGACTCGTTTGCGACCATCGAAGAGCTACTAACCCAGCTTCCGGAGAACCTTGGTTTCAACGTCGAGATCAGTGAGTCGTCCCCGTATCTGATCTCGGAGAACATTACTGACAATGATTCAGAGTACCCCCGAATCCACGAAGCCACCGAAGCAGGAGTAGCCCCAGTAGCGATCGAAATCAACATATTCGTGGATAAAATCCTCGAGAAAGTATTCACCCTGGGGAACAGCAGAAACATTATCTTGTCCTCATTCACCCCCGAGATCTGCATTCTCTTGGCATTCAAACAGCAAACCTATCCAGTCATGTACATCACCAACGCCGGAAAGCCCCCAGTCACAGACAGAGAGAAGCGAGCCGGTAGCCTGCAAGCTGCAGTGCGATTCGCCCAGCAGTGGGGCCTCAATGGAATTGTTCTGGCCTCCGAGACTTTGATCATATGCCCTCGGCTGATCGGATACGTCCAGCGGTCGGGGCTCGTGTGTGGCTCGTATGGACCACTCAATAACATCCCGGAGAGTGCACAAGTGAGTCATTCATCCCGAGGAGTAACTCGGAAATGTACTAACTCTACCTACGTAGCTCCAATTCGATGCTGGCATCAATATTCTGATGGCCGACCGGGTCGGGCTTATTGCTAAAGCACTGGAGGACCGGGATGGCGATGATCGGCGATTGAAGAACTAGCGGTTGCTCCGATCGGGTGCATAGATGGTGGCGACATAGATTATCAAGAGTTTAAAGATCTTACAAAATGATTCCAAATCTACATATTTTGTATTTTCCATCATTCTAAATGCACTTGGTATTTCCGTGGAATCTAAAGAGTGTGTGGGAATGCCGGATTCCCACTGTGGGAAATTCGCCGTTTCGGACCGCGGCGGATGAGGGTGGAGGGGCCCGTCGATCATCAGCGATAAGGTGGTGATCCCAGGGGAGAGTGAAGTTATGGCTTAGTGGAAGATCTCTAAGCAGTAGCATGGTTTTAGTCAGTCGTGGCTAATCCGAATAGCCTCGGAATGGGCAGACTACTCAGTGTACGTTGAGCAAAAAGGACGAGCCCCAGAAAAGACGCAAGAGCCTAGCCTAGGCCAATTTCCTGGGAGGGACAAAGGCAGCTTGTACCCTGAAAAGGGCAGCTCCACTGGTTCACCCATGCGATCATCCGTGGGTCTCCCTCATTGCTCTGCCATGAAGCATTTCGGACTATGGCGTCACCAGCCGGGCCTCCGCCAGGGTTCCTTTTGACATCAACTGTCCACACTTTTTGCTCGGCTGTGTTTTTTGCTTGTGGCTGTTCTTTCTTTCCGCAATCATTTAGTTCTAGTTCCTCATTGATTGTTCTTGAACACATCAACGAAAGTCTCAACTTTTCCTATTGGCCGCACATGGTCGACTCCGTCTATCTCTGCTAGCAGAGATGCCGCATCAAGATGGCCCAACGGCCGACGACTGGCCGGACGAGCAACAAATCGCCCAACAAACCACCAACAGCGCCGGCCATGGGCGGACTCCCCGGCGTGCGCATTACCATGAGAGGGGACTCAACACTGGAGTCCGGGTAATGGGTGCGCACATTCTCTATCCCTCTAAATTTCACACTTCCCTTACAATCCCAGCTACTAACTATCATGGTTTCTACTAGACAATGGCCGCCTGGACATCAAGATCCGCGAACGCAAACCCTGGGTATCAAAAATCATCAAACACCTCCAACAGCAACCCGAACCCCTCCGCGAAGAGCGCAAACCATCTGTCTGCCTCATCGAAGACGGAAAACCCCCCTGCGCCCTAAAACTCAACATCGTCATCCAAGTCGTCGGCTCCCGCGGCGACGTTCAACCCTTCCTTGCGCTGGGCAAAGTCCTCAAATCCCACGGTCATCGCGTTCGTCTCGCCACACATCTCGCCTTTCGTGAATCGATTGAGCATGCGGGTCTCGAGTTCTTCGATATCGGCGGTGATCCGGCCGAGTTGATGGCGTTTATGGTGCGGAACCCAGGCTTGATGCCGCATATGAGTACCTTGCGTAGTGGGGCTATCCCGCGCCGGAGACGCGAAATGAAGGCCATCTTCTCGGGTTGTTGGCGCTCGTGCTATGAGACGGGCGATGGGACTGGGATGCATCATATTCCGGACGATCCGTGGAGTGCGACGGCGGATTATCGTACGATGCCGTTCGTGGCGGATGCTATCATTGCGAATCCACCGACTTTTGTGCATTTGAGCTGTGCTGAGAAGTTGGGTATTCCGTTGAATATGATGTTTACGTGCGTATCCCCTTTCAAAATCCAAGATGATTCAATGAGCTGATCAAAAGGGTGTAGAATGCCCTGGTCGGCAACACAGTCTTTCCCTCATCCGCTGGCGACTATCCGCACAAAGAACACGAAGCCCTCCGCCGCTAATTTTGCTTCGTATGCTATTGTCGAGATCCTCATGTGGGAGGGCCTGGGAGATTTGATCAATTCTTTCCGAAAGCGCGATCTCGGGCTGGACCCGTTAGACGCTATTCGGGCACCGAGTATCGCGCACCGATTGCGCATCCCATACACTTATCTCTGGTCACCTGCCCTCCTCCCCAAACCTGGAGACTGGGGAGACAATATAGACATTACCGGCTTCTCATTCCTGTCTACCGCCTCAGACTACACACCCCCCGACGATCTGGCCAACTTCCTTGAATCCGGCCCTCCTCCTATCTACGTCGGCTTTGGCTCCATCGTCGTAGACAACCCGGGCTCACTAACGAAGAAAGTCTTCCAAGCCATCCGCGAAAGCGGGCAACGGGCGGTCGTCTCCAAAGGATGGGGTAACCTCGGAGCAGACGAAGACGAAATCCCAGAGAACATCTTCATGATCGACAAATGTCCACACGACTGGCTCTTCCAGCACGTGTCCTGTGTTATTCATCACGGTGGAGCGGGTACCACAGCCGCCGGGCTAGTACTGGGTCGTCCGACCATCATTATCCCGTTTTTCGGCGATCAGCCGTTCTGGGGCTCGATCGTGGCTCGCGCTGGCGCTGGCCCACTGCCTATCCCGCATAAGCAGTTAACGGCGGAAAAGCTCACGAAAGCGATTAAACAGGCGCTTGAGCCAGAGACGTTAGAGAAGGCGAAAGAAATTGGGAGAGATATGCGTAAGGAGCGGGGGGTGCAAAATGCCGCTGCTAGCTTTTATCAACATCTAGATGTGCAGACTATGCGGTGCTCTATCTGTCCAAATCGGCCGGCTGTTTGGTGGGTGAAGCATTCGCATATCAAGCTGAGCACATTTGCTGCGGCGGTGTTGGTGGAGACTGGTTTGATCAGTCCGCGGAATGTTGTCCTGTATGTTCTGTGTAGTTTATCTCTTGTGCATCCGGGGCATGTGGCTAACGGAGGAATTCAGATATCGTTCACGCGAATACGACACCAATCGAGATCCTAGGGGACCATTGTCAGCCGGTGCGGAGGTTCTCTATGGTATCGTCTCGGGTTTCGTCACCAGCATCGCGGAGGCGCCTAGCGGAATGCGAGGCATATTTTCGACAACCCATGAACGTCGACTCCATCACAAACATGATTGGAAGAAAGAGCTTCGTCCTTCCTATCTCGATAAATCGTCCTTCCACCGGCACCGCCGTGGGCGAACAGAGACGTCTCTCGATTCGGGTGTCGGGGCTGATGTGATCCCGAATGGTGACAACCAACGTTCAGTAACAGCGGATCAGAACCAATATGAGAATAGTGAACGCGAGCAACCCTCCTTCAACGAGAACTCTCGAGGTTCAATCGAATCCGACGAAGCCTATCACTCCGCTGGGGAAGATATAAACCGAGATCAAGCCATTCCCGACCGACAGCAAATTGGAGACGGAGCCACCAACAGCCCCAGCGGTGATGAATCCTCCAGCCCGCACACAAGCAGCTCTGACACCGAGACGTTCGACACAACGGATGATGATATCGGCGCGGAGCTTGATCTCGAGCGAACCATTACTCGTTTGCGAACGAGGGAAATGTCTCATACAAAGGAGATCCTAGCTGAGACGTCGTACCATAGCGCCCGTGCGACAAAGCATATTGCGAACTGGCTCATTAAATTGCCTACGGATGTGACTTTGAGTCTGACGAAGGGGTTTCATAATGCCCCCAAACTGTATCATGATACCTTAGTGGAGGATTCGCCACGAGTGCTTGGAGTGAGGAGTGGGTTCCGCGCTGCTGGGACGGTATGTTCTCTGGATTCCCGAGAGAGATGAGATGAGGTTGCTGATGAGTATAGGAATTCACGCATGGATTCTACAACGGCATTACCGGACTTGTCACACAGCCTGTGGTCGGGATAGAAAAGTCTGGTGCAAAGGGATTGCTGACAGGTATTGGGAAGGGCGTAGGTGGTGTCTTTCTCAAACCCACTGCTGGTGAGTTACTCCTCGACAAAACCGGCGATGTCAGAGCTAACTGAAACCTACTTAGGCCTCTGGGGTTTGGCAGGCTACCCACTAGAAGGGATGCACAAGAGTCTTCGCAACTCGCTCTCGAAGAGCAAGACGAAGGATATTCTAGCTTCGCGTATGCAGCAGGGTATTGAGGAGATGTGTGCGGCTACAACGCAAGAACGATCCGCGGTGATCCAGAAGTGGCACGAGTTGCAGAGGGCGGGGCTGGGACATATGAGTGAGCGCGAGCATGAGCATGGGCATCATGGTTCGTAGGCAGATATACCCGATGTATTATTACTGTGATTTTTTCCGTCTGATGTAAATTCAAGTCAATGGTGTATAGCTATGTAAAACAAATGTATACTAGGTGTCGATAACTGATAACGGTTCTTCGCGATATGTGATTGATAAGATAGAAGACTTTCGGATCATTTCTGTACAGCAAGGCTCGTTCTTCCGAAATTAAGTAGCATCCTGCATGCTCTCAGCCTCACTAGCCACAGAAATCTCACCTCGCATCGAACTGTCAGGCATCTGACTTTCCCGATCAGGAAATTACCACTGTCCGTACTTGGGGCCTTCCAAGGCAAATATTCACTCCGCTCAGCCACTTCACCCCCACTTGAACCGTTCCTTCGTGAACTCTGCCCCTCGGGTCAGCCCAATCAAACCATTCACTTGGTCCCTTAGTGGCTGTGCCGTCGCTCTTCATTTCCGTCCCTGTGGCTGCGCCCGTCTGTAAGCTTTAGCAGTCAGATACTTAACGTCGCACACCCCCACTTCCTCAATCTCACTTCATCGTCATCATTAACCACTGTTTCCATCCTCAATCTACCTTCCTTTGAAAGAGGAACCATGTCGTATCAGCAATCTTACGGACAGGGTCCGCCGCAGGGCTATAATCAATATCCCCCTGCAGGACAGTACCCGCCGCCGCAGGGACAGTATGGCCAGCACCAACAATATCCACAATATCCCCCGCAGGGTCCAGGCCCCTACCAGCAAGGTCCAAGCTCTCATCAGCCGCCTCAACAGCACGGTTCATACCCACCTCCAATGGCCGGCCATCATCCACAGCAAACACAATCACCATACCCTCCTCAGCAGCAACACCCACCACAGGGTGCCTCTCCATACCCACCTCCCATGAGCGGGCAACACCCCCAGCAGCCTGGTCCATATCCTTCTTACCCACCATCACAGCAAGGCATGGGATACTCGCACCAAGGCCCTCCAGTCCAGCAGGGCTACCCACAAGGGCATCCTCCTCAGCCAGGCTACCCGAATGCGCCGCAACAGCAATACCAATCCTTCCCTCCGGGTCCTCCGGGCCAACAGCCACCACCGATGATGGCGCCTCCAGGAGCAGGTGGTCCCTACCCCAACTATCCCCCACAACAAGGCCCAATGCCCTCCCGTCCCTCCCCCGGCTATGACCCTTCCTTCCTCCCCCCAGGGACAGCATCCAACGAAGCCGAAGCTCTCCGCAAAGCCATGAAGGGCTTCGGAACGGACGAGAAAACGCTCATTCGCGTCCTGACTAGCACCACCGATCCCAACCGAATGGCGCTTATCCGCCACACCTACGAAAAGATGCACAACCGATCCCTAACTAAGGACCTGAAATCTGAGACCTCGGGATCGTTCGAGACCATCCTCGTTTCGCTCGCCACAGGTCCATTGGAATCAGATATCACGTACCTCCACGACGCGATGAGCGGGTTGGGCACGAACGAAAAGGGATTGAACGATGTTCTTCTAGGACGGAGCAATGCCGATCTGCATGCAATTCAGCGCGCCTACCGGGACAAATACCACAAGTCGCTTCTCGATGACATCAAGGGAGAACTGAGCGGGAAGACCGAGCGTTTCTTCGAGATGCTGCTCAACGCGAGACGCCCCGAACCGGGATCTCCCTTTGATCCGCGCGGCGTTGACACCGACGTGAGGGAACTTCATCGTGTGACCGCTGGAAAGGTGGGAACAGACGAGGTCGCTCTTTTCGGTATCTTCATGAACTCATCCGATGAGAGGTTGAATGTGTTGGCTGGGGAGTTCGAGAGAATGTATCATGTCCCTCTTGAGAAGGTCATTCGAAGTGAGTTTTCGGGGCATTTGGAGGATGCGCTGGTTACGATGTTGCGGGTAGCGAGGGATCCGATCTCATTCCATGGTGCAACTTTGAAGGAGTGTTTCTTCGGGTCCAATGGGGCTAATGAGAAGAGGCTGGTGTATTGGACTGTCAGATTGCATTGGAATCCGGAGTATTTCGCGAGGGTCAAGGGAACGATGGGAGGGAATATGCGCTCGTTGGTGAAGAGTTATGTTTCGGGTGGGGATTTTGAGGATGCGATGATGGCGGTTTGCTCTCATTAATGATAATCTCTATTTTTAATGGTTTATGTTTAACGGTGGCTTTCTTATTACTAATGGGATGATCATGAATATTTACTTCGATGTTCTGGTGGTGTCTTTTAGTACCAGGCTTGGTTGAAGCCGTAGTGACGACCGAAATATATCCTGGATGACCTGCGAGGTAGTAATGTCATGTCGAGGAAAGAAAATTCGAATACGATACAATCTGTCGTTGTGGAGCAGTCCATAATGCTGATTGAATCGATTGAATGCAAGCCTCTTGCTTTAGAATAAAAATGAATACACAGATATCTAAACAACACTTAACACAATGGACTCAGCGCAGCTATTCCTGAGGCTGAGCGTGTTACGGTAATAGTATGCGTTGCGGCCCTTATGTATTATAATCAAGAGCCATTATCATAACAACGGCAAGGTGGCCGAGCGGTCCAAGGCGCCAGGTTAAGGTTCACCTTAACAGTCAGCTTCCGAGCTTCCTGGTCATCGTAAGATGGCGTGGGTTCGAATCCCACCCTTGTCACATCTTTTTTGTCTTTTTGCTACTGCCGCCTCGCTGCGTTTATGGGTTTATCTTTTGTTTTGGATTTCTTCTTGACGAAGCGACCGCTGAGTCCGTTCTTTCGCATCTACTAATTAGCAGACTGGCTAGGCTATCTCCCACCCCCCTACCATTGGTTATCACTTCCGCACCTCTAGTTAGTAGTTAGCATTTCTTTCCCACGTCATCCCGTCACAACTATGGAACTTGCCGATTCATTCATGCCTCTTGTCAATAGACACAAGATCAGGTGCCGCAACGATACGCGCCTACGTCTGTAAAAGAGTCTCGTTCTACTGTATATATAGTTAGCCAAGCCCTTGTCATTTTAGTCTTCACACTCTATGCTATCTCAGCTTCCATCCTCATGCCTACACCTTTAACATCAAAATCTCCTTGGATGTGCCCAAGTCAATGAAGTAACCCCGTTGGCTCCATCCCTGCATTCTAGCAGACCCATCACCACTCCATTGAATCTATCCAGATCTATGTGTAGTCCTGTCGCCCTACAGACTAATGGATGAAAGTACCAACATTAGCTAATTTTGTTGCTCTGTGCAATGTAGCTGGAATAATGACGCAGGCTCCGGAATTGACCCCCCGAACCTGACGTCCACGTGGCGCATGGCTACTATTTCCTTCTCTGAGGCTGGGTACTACTGTCCCCTGGTTGAGTAGAAGTCACTCCAATCACCGTTCATCTCTATACTTCAGCCCTAAACCTTTACAGGCGATAATATCTCATCTCATCGTACCATGTTATATTACGCTTCATGGACAATACCATTGTCGATCCGAACAAAGAGTCTTTCTCTAAATGCCAATATACTAATTCCCTTTGTTCGATAAGTCCCCTACGGCCTGTCAAATTTACTATCGTTGGTTTAATCCGGGAATTTCCTCCATATAATTCTTAAAATGCGAGAACTGAAAGACGATACATTTCGAGGAATAAAGAGCTATAAAACCCCTGCTGCAAGCGTAACATGTCCCTCGAAATTCGAGACGCACACATACGGACCGCCGCGCCCCTCTGGGCGCTATCCATGGTCCAGTGCTCCGACGTGTTGTATAACGTGAATCATTCCTCAAAGCATGTTCCCAAGTGTATGACGGTATTCTGGCATCGTCGACACAGCCGAAGAGCTTTCAGCCAGCGGGAACATAAGTCGCAGGAATCCCACAGCCGTAAGCCCCTGCTGTCTTCCTCTGCAACTGTCTGCTAAGAATCCCGACTCCACAAGCAACTTCTTTCAACTCTGCTATGTTCGACAAACTCCTATCACTATATTCTACTCTCAACTTATATTTTCCTTTTATTGAACAAAGCCACAGCCAAAGTCACACTATGCAGTACCCCAACATGCAAGTTGCTACTGCGCAGTCATCTGCTGCTCATCTCCCAGCCACTCCTGCACCCGCAGTGAGATCTACCATTCAACCCACCAAAAGAATCTATCCACGCAGTTTCTTCTACCAAAGAGGTAAGTACTGGACGACTGAGCAAGTGCACGCTCTCAACTGTGTCTCCGAAAAGAATGTCACTCCCATCAACCTACTTGGGAGTTCTTTTCCCACCGACGAAAAGATTCTTAAATGTATGCCATCCTTCCTATAACAAAGACAACTGACTAGATAATAGCTAACATAACTGAGCGCACAGCTTTTGCAAAGCTGAACGAAGATTTCATCACCCCCAGCAAGCAAGAAATCCTGGACTACCACTATAAACCGCACGAGTCCCCAATAAGGAAGAATGATATCCTTACCATCTTTCTCACCTTATCCTGGATCCACGACTTGGACAAGTGCCGTGACGATGTCCCACCCACCATCGACTCCACCTTGAGCATCCTCGGTCTTCGTATGGACATCTTCAGGGCAAACTTGTAAGCGTCATTATCATCCACAATAAATGAAGAGCAGCAGCTAATGTTCAAACCGTAACAGAATCATCGACAAATATTCTATCCGATACAATCTCGCCAAATTAAACATGAAGGGTGTTCTCCCCTGCGATGGCGGAATATTCGGTCCTGACGACAAATGGAGACAATGTCCCTTAGTCGTGCTTTTGGTATGCCCTCCTTCTTACTCATAACACACATACCTACTCAGCATACAATCGCTAATATGAAACATCATATAGGACACATACGACCTATCGAAGAGACAAGCCCGTAACAACTTATTTTCATGCCTTCTCCTCCCCATGGCAGTGAAATACGAACAGGGCCAGAAGCGCGATCCATACGTGTCGTTCTGCATTACGGCTAATCTCTCCAAGTACCGGGTTACTCGGGCCGAGGCGCCACATACCTACTTTGAGGATCTGCGTCAAGGCAGACATTTGAAGGACAAGCTGGTCTTAAAGGGAACCAGAGAGTATGATTGGCTGAAGGAGGAAGATCGGGATGAGTTCTTGAAGGTTTATTGGGGTGTTTGTTCGTTTTTGGTGAAGAGCCGTGAGGAGGGTATGTGATGGTGTTTCTATTTATGACTTTGAGATTTTTCTATGCTTTCTATTTATGTTTGGTGTTTTGCTATGTCTGTCTCTATTTGGTGTTTGGTTTACTGCGTTCTAAGCCATAGCGATCTGTCCTGTCTCGAGCCATTATGTCTCCTAGATCGATTGGTTAATGATCGGAGTGAGAAGTCAAAACCACTCCTGATCGAAGTGAGTCGTCAATATCACTTCCTACTACAACCAATAATCAATTTACTTTCTTGCTTTGTTTGATTAAAATGTTTCTATTGTTCAACTAAGACCTAATTGCTGGTTACATCCACATCCACCCAACAATTAAATCTCTTCTCTCTCCATATCAAGCTCGACTGGACTTAAATCCAACCAATACTCGAATCACAGCAAATCAATGCTTGATTTACTGGGATGCGACGCACTGGTAGTAGTAAGGGTTCCACTTCTTGCAGACAGAGCCGCTCTCGCAAGTAGTAGGGCCAGTGTGGTTGATACCACCGCAGCGCTCGTACTGCTTAGCAACACCGCCGGCGGAAGCGCTAGCGCTGGCACTGACAACGGGGACGACGCTAGAAGTAGCAGCGGGGGCAACGACGCTGGAGGTAGCAGCAGCAACCTGGGAGTTGGACTTGGTCTTGTTCTTGCAGGCAGTCTTAGAGGACTTCTTGGAAGAGGTGGCGAAGGTGGTGGGGGCGGCCTGGGCCTGGCTGGTCACAGCGGAGGTGGCCTGCTGGACGGGGGCAGCAGAGCTGACGACGGGAGCGGCAGCTTCGGTGGTAGCAGCAGCAACAGAGGAAGAGACCTCAACGGCAGCCTGGGTGGCGGGAGTGGTGGCAGCGACGGCAGAGGTGGTAGCAGCAGCAGCCGAGGAGACAGCAACGGAAGAGGATCCGGAGCTGGAGGAGCCAGAGCTGGAGCCATCCCAGACATCCGGGCCGGGGATGGGGTAGCTGTCGAAGGAGTTGTAGATGTCGAAGAGGATGCCGGGGTCAGTGGCGGTGTAGACACCGGGGATGGAGACACCGGAGGGAAGCTCGTTGGAGCCGTCGGAGGTGACCTTGAACTGGACACACTCCATGTAGAACTGGGCACCACCCTCGCGGTTACCCTCGTGGAGGGCGATGATCTCAGGGCGGAAGAGGTAGTTACCGGCGGGGACGTCGGGAACGGTGATGTTGTGCTTGCCCTTGTTGGCGATCAGGATGTCGGTGGCCCACTCATCGGAGCTCTTGTGGTATCCGTCCTCAGCGATCTTGACCCAGTTGTTGCCGTTGGAGCCCTTGGCCGTCGGGGCCATGTAGACCTGGACGGGACCCTTGTGGGAGGAGGCGATGATGTCGTCGGAGGCGGAGCGGTCGCTGTGGTGCCACTCGAAGGTGACAACGTCACCGGCCTTGACGGAGAGGGTCTTGGAGGCAGCCTGGTCACCGTTGACGTTGCAGGTCATGTCGGTGGAGGTGACGTCGGTGACGGGGCTGTTGCTGGGGGGAGAGCGGATGTAGCCATCGTCGGTGTTACCGAGACCCTGGTCCTCGCCGTTGATCCAGACGGCCTGGACGGTGGTGTGGGCGGAGGCCAGCTTGGAAGCCGCTGCCAGAGCGAGCAAACTGTAGGTGGTAGTCTTCATGGTGGTAGGTGAAATGAAGGTGATTTGAAGTTGTTAAAGAATGAATGTGTGGTAGAAAGGAAGGGAACGTAGTTCGCAAATGAGAAAGTAAGAAAAAAGAATGTACAGCTATCCTGGCTGATGAAAAGAATGCTTGGGGAGAAGACTGAATAGAAGGTTCGCAGAGAGTGTTTTATATCAGGGCCCTGGCAGGGGAATGGTGATGGGATGCCGGTTGAGCGGCGGAGGAGATGCGGGCCCTGCCAAGCCAGACGTTTCATCTTAATGCGATCCGGCCGCGATCCACGCTCCACAGAACGGGGTCAACTGGACCCTGGCGGAGTGCATTGCCAGGCCATCCGCTGGTTGCCAAGGGCTGCTGCTACAGCGGCGCCTTGGCTTCATTTTGTAGGCGCGTAGAGGGAGAGACACGGGTCATGGCCCTCTTCTTGGCCTAGCTAGTCTTACTCTCAGACACTTCCCATAGAGCGATAGTCAGACCAGTAACTGGCTTAACGGCCAATCCGTGCAAATCCCCGGCGTTTAGCCTTAAGCATGCCGGACCTTAATCTTGTTGTGGCCTTGGCCTCTTACTGCAAAAGCTTTCTGTCAGCTTCGAAGGTGGGGACATTCGCCCAAACGGTGTCGCTGGTTCCAAGAACTTGCCCTGTATTTTAAGGATTGATGTATATTAGCCCCTGGTCAATCAACAATTTAGCCAAGGGGTTGTTCAATCTCCGTGTGTGCTCAGATGGTGTTCACAAGGACCCTGTTCATGAAACGGCACTGTTGGTGAACGACTTGCCGATGATTGATCTCAGGTCTCGGCTGATAGCCTGTTGCAGAACAAATGCCAGCCAATCCGGGTAAATCGATAATAATCCTTCATCCGCATATGGGGCAGATAGCACAGCCTCACATTGTGTACACAATACTCACTAAAGCAAATCATTCCTGTTATGGGCGATTCTTAATAAAAGTTAATCTACGATGATGTACAACAAGGGACGGCTGGCACAAAGTACTTGTAGACGGCCCGTGGTTGGATAAGAGCGGGCTATCATTCATAGTGGCCTTATTCTTGTAGGATATCGGCTTTTTTGACGAAGCAGCGATTGTTTTCCCACGCCAAAGTGAGCTTGTGTCTAAATGAGATTTGATTTTTGCAGGGCAAAGGTCCGGTACTATGTGCCTAGGGATACATTATATAGTGAGCTGCTTTGAGCAACGAACACGAGAAGTAGACGTTGTGATACGCCCAATAGCGCGCTCAATGATATTATTTTGGATCCATGTCATTGATAATGAAGAGGTATAAAAGCTTTTATTTGTGAACTCAACTGTACAAACATGGTCAGATGGGCAAGAATAACCAAATCGTAGGACATAAGACAAATTTACAACTCACACCTCAACCAATCAGCTCCTATGGCTCAGTTGGTAGAGCGCATGACTAGTAATCATGAGGTCCGCGGTTCGAATCCGCGTGGGAGCATTTCCTTTTTCTTTTTTGTCTTTTGCATTCCTTCGGCATTAGTCAATTGTATTATGCACTGTAATTATGCACGCTGTAGATGTAATAGAGCAGGTCTGCCACGGTGCCCTGCTCTCCACCGCAGTCATGAAACAGGAATGTTAAGTAGGCGAAGTACGCAAATCTGATGATAATCCTGCACTTGATGCCTCGCATAATCTGCTTTTCCGTACTTCATACTAATGGATCGAGTCGATCCTGTCTGGTACTGACAGTTCATGGATCTACTCTCCCTCCCAAACGAAGACAATTTCTTGCTCATTCTAAATCGAGGTAATCGAAAGAGAGATGCACATAATGAGCAGTACCAGCAAGAGGCTTAATCACAAGATACTAGCAACAACCAACACATCAACCTCTACCCTAGCCTACAGCGATGACGGATACAAAGGCTTCTGACCCACAACCCTCATCAACTTCAGGGGCGGGGAATTTCCCTCTGCGCACTGACGCCGATGCTCCTCAGCAAGATTCTCTGCCTCTTGCGATGCGACCTCTGCGGTATCGACCTGCTTAGACCTCAGCAAAAGGAAGGCATAAAGTGTTCTGATGATCGCAGTAAGTCTCTCCTCGACATCATGGTGCAGATCAGGAATCTTGTGCGAATCATAACATAACCGCTCTACACCAACGAATCCAGCTGCCCGAGTCTCTTCATATACCTTAGCTGAGGCCTGAAAGCATTTGCCCTCGGCTGTAAGACCATAGTCAAAACAGCGATAAAGCTCACTGAGCACCGGGTAGCCTTTTGTGAGGTAGGTTACAGCGTCGATTTCTTCCCATTGGAGGTAGCCTCCGGGCTCTGCACTTACATTAGTGTCAAGTCAAGGAAGTGATTGCAATGTGCACACGAAGGGTTCCCCATACTCAGTATTCTCGAGATATTTGCGATCGCAGCTTTGTAGTCTGATTCCTCGAGAGCAGCGACTAGAAGACGAACATGTACCAAGTCATATCGTCCCCAATGTTCTTGCGGGAATGGGACAGTCAGATCGTGAACACTATACTGTATCGCTCCTGGGTTCTCAGGGAATTGCTCGGATGAGATATCGAATCCATGGTAGTAGCGATCGACTTGAGGTGTATCCAGCGATTTCTTCAGATCTCGCAGCCAAATGCTGCGCCACATATTTACCCATTAGTTTCAAAGACTGGGCCCTGCACGGAGAAGAGAGACTCACCCAGTTCCGGTAGCTATATCTGCAACAGAACGAATGTCTTCGACTGGAATTGAAGGATGAATGAGGGTATCCCCGCTGGTTCGGACGAGCACGCGGTGCTGTACATCCAGCCTAGAATGGCATTAGAGAATTGCCTGACTATCCATGAACATTGCTATGTGTCGGACCATACCTCTCCGATTCTTTCTTATCTCTTTCGAAGCAATATTTGTCCTGAGCAGCCATTGTTGCGTTTCGTTGATATTCTTTACCCGCTGAATGGACAGCGGCCTTCTACCCGCTTTTTATACTACAGAACCCCCTTACATGACCCCATGGAGAATCTCGATCGCTCGATCATGCCCCAGCTTTAATTCCCTCATTGATTACCATCATCGCTTGAAATATACCTGTAGGTGGTTATTGGTTCTTGTTTGCCGCTAAGGACTCTTCAGCTCCACCAAACCAGTGGAGTAGCTGCAGGAGCTGAAGAATTGTCACAACCTGCACCCCTCTCAGCCAGCCACTCTGACAAGTCTTCATAACAAAGCGATTGGTGCGGCATTGATGACCTAAATAACTTGGTCAGAGTTTACATGTTCCGACAGCGGAGCGTCTCCAATGATCATCTCGGCTATATTTCCCTGCCCTGGCAGACCGTCACAACCGTGCTGATCTGTGCTCGTGCCCCATCAATAGCCACGTATCACGGAGATGTCCGGCTTATCACGAGTCCGGCTAAACTTTATGAACTGTCTGCCTGCATGATGTGTAGCGCACTTGAGGAAATCCCCAGAATCTGTGGCAGCATGGACCGAAAATACTGGTGGTGTAGTAGTACTGTTTCTGCTCGGTCAACACCTGGTGGCGCCTGCTCAGGCCCGTATTCGAGATTGGCTGAGAAGGCTTATCACAGATAGAAGCATACAGCAAGCCTGAGGTCACAATGATAATTTCACATTGATGCGCATGACTTGGATCACACCCGGCATTCGATCCAGCTCGATTATTTGCCGCTCTCGGGTATCAAATTTACCCCGCTTTCCAATGGAATTGTCGGTAATTGCGTTGGAAGAGGGCCCAATGCTGGCATCCTAGGGACTATACCTTCGAATCCCACTGGGAGTATCTAATTTCCCTGGAGCCATCCAACGACGTAAGTCTAGCGGACCTTGGATTTCAAACCCAATATTGAATATATCCAGTATATCGGTGAAAGGGGAATCCGGTCTCTACATGAATTTTCAAGTATATCCTACAGGGGCAGTCTGAGCCAGATTTAGTATCTTTGGGATCAACCCTCATATAAAGACTTATGTAAATGTAATTATGCGGTAGAAGGGCAACAATCAGGACTTTGGATCCCGGAGACTTCTAGCCTATGGTAGCTAAAAAGAAGTAGTCACATTAGACTGCGAAATCTTCCCGTGTAGGAGACTTCTACTTCTGGCCAGTCCTTGAAACTGCCGTATGGAGCTGGGGAGACTTGAAGCCAGGCAGGGTGTACTATCTCAATAGCTGGTCCAGATTTTCCAGCGGTTATATCAACTAAGATAGTTCGACTATAAATACTACTACTTCCAGTGGGATTCGGCTGTCGCTCCAACACACCAACATGCCTGGAAGGGCCTTGGTAGAACGAGCGATGAAGCCTACTATGAGGTAACATCATGATTGTAGAGAAGTCTGGCCTATATTCACTCGAGGACGCAAGTATGCTCCGGAAAATCGGAGAAGAAATTCTTTGCAGCCATCTCACTCTCGTGCAGCATTTCAACGTAGCCAACTCGAGAGTACGTGTCTCGCTTAGTCTGAATTAAGGCCAGACCAAAGAGTTCCCAAACTTTTCTGAACATATGGCGAGCTTCGATTGGCAGGCAGTAGATCTCGGCACACATCTCACTCTTGACGTCAAATATCACCTCGCACCGAGCTCGCGGATACTTAATTGTAGGCTTTTGACCTTCCACTCCAGGGGTTTCAAGGCTCAGTACAGACATGGCAGTCTCTTCCGGAAGAGTCTTGACGCTTGGAATGAGCGTTGCAGACGCGAGAGGTCCTTTCGAAGTGACACTACCACTGGCCACTTGACCTGTCTCATCTTCTCCGCAAGGAATACATTTAGCGCTGATGACAAGCGCAAAAGGCTGGGCAGTTTTCTTTTGCACAGAATGTGTGCCTGGATAGCACAACTGAACAGCACCGTCCACAGAAGCCCACGACCAGGAAGGTGCGCGGTACGAAGGAGGTCTGCGGCCGGGTTTCAAGACCTTCCAAGTCAAACACCCCGGTAGATTCTGACGCCAAAGCCCAGCAAGATAATCATCTTCATCATAACCTAGACCCTTGAGGCGCCTCCGGACATCTTTTGCCAAGCCAGAAATAGCTACAAGCTTGTCCGAGGGAACTGTAAGCTGGCAAGCCGTGAAAACCATTGCGATTGCGCACCAATCTACGTAGATTTGGTCTCTAGGATCACCTATGTACCTTACCTTTGGAGCATCAAGAAGCTGTTTCCAAAGGTGGTTGTGTTGAGCGGCCGGCGATGATAACGATGATTTGTCCAGAGAATCCCCATTATCATTGTTCTTGTCGTTGCGATTACCATCGTACTCGTAAACATTGTTCGGCTGTATTTCGCAGCAGGTACATTCCCTGCACTCCCAGAAAACTTGTTTCCGACCAAAGTGCAAAACCCGTGGGCATAAAAGACGTTCTTGCAAGGTCCAGCCTCGCTTTGGCAAAGGTTCTCGATCAAATGTTACTTTCCAAGCCCAACCCTTTTCTGAGCGAAACCTGAATGTTTTGGGATCACTCCAATTATCGACACGTATGTTGACGACGCTAGGGGCAACTTGTGCTGAGTCTCGGGAGAAAAAGCAGCCATCAGCATCGTTACTTGATCCCAGGGCAGAAATTCCCAGAAATGCATTCTTGTATATTTGCCCCATAGTTGCGGATTCGCTTTGCCAGTCCTCAGGCGAATCCTGGAGTATACAGAGACGGTCAATCCATATGTACCGAACTTTCAGCCGTTCAATGATGATGAAAGCGTGCTTGAATGTTTTGGGAAGGACAGAGAGCGGTTGGTATTCTTTCAGTTTGCGAAATGTGTCCTCCAACAAGATCAAGTCGGGGTTGGATGGCGTTGACCCCCAGCAGTGGCTTAGCGTTATATAGCGCTCTCCGGGCTGGACATGTTGCCTTTCAACAAGACGGAACATTTTATCAAACCTGTCTGTTTGCAGTTCTAAAAGCCGGCTTGGGATAAAGTTTGCTTCATGCTGATCATCGCAAGTCGGATGTCCTTGAAGACATCGATTAAGCCACCGCTCAATTAACACCCACGTTGTCTGGTCGTCAGTGGATGCCCCTATTTCAAAGCTCAAATTCTCATCAAAACCTTTAAAGTTTGTATCAAGACAATTATAAGAGATCAGCCTGACTGGGTAATATATATCATGGAGCAAATTAAGCCTTCATGTCTGGCACATACCTTCATGCGGAATCATATCACAGGTGCCGGAGATGTTACCATAGTACACCGTCATTTCCACGCAACGAGGCTTCAATAATATCTTGAATACGGAAAAATATTCAACACCCTCCAGTTGTGTGTTAAGGGTTTCCCGGTCCAGGTTCTCCATATCTTGCAATGGCGCGAATTTGTAGCATACGACACAGCCTTGCTCGATAGATGCCACAAAGGATTCCCTGTTGAGGTGATGCCCAAACACCCATATTTCCGGCTCCCACTGACTACCTCGGCCTTGAGTAGGGTCAGTATCAGAAAGAACGGCCGGCCAACATATACGTTGCAGGGCATACCATTGCCATATTCTTCGTCGCTATCGTCTATCTTCAGCCGCCTTGTTCTTTCAGGGTCCCATATACCCTCTAACCCTTCTTTGCAAATCTTACACAGCATGACTGAAGAACTTCGTTGCTTCTCCACAGACAGCGCTATGTCGATGAAAGTACTTACTCTCACGGTGGTCGGTCGCGGCTTCCCCTCATCGGGCATCCGTGCGGGCTTACCGAACCGGGAAAAGTTGCATGCAGCATAACCGAGTGGAACCTAGTAGTAGTGACTGCTCCTGGCCAGTAACTAATGTGTGGTAACACTTCCTACGCCCACCAAGAAGGAGTACTAGTCATCTGATTAGAGGGAGCTCGAGGCAAGACTGTATAGGAATCCTCGATAATTTCGCGGAGGTTTCAGCGGAGTCGGCCAAATCGATGTCTTCTATTTGCTATTCCATGTGTGAAGGACATTTTTAGTAGGAGTGATTCGAATATGAAGAGATATATTGTAGGTACAGAGATGAATCTAGTTCCTGATTTGTCAGGCAAATCTCCGCTATGCTCGGGTATAAGAATAGTTTAACTCCGTCCCTCGGTTCCTGCCGGCCGCAAAGATTCGCTTACGCTCTTGTCGAACAAATCAGGTTTGACCTGTTTGTTTAGTAGAGATGATCGTCAACTATGTCCACAATGGATATATTGATCCTGTTTCATTTTGTACTCGATGCTCAGGTCTGAGCACCTTCATGGTGCATGGACGTGTGGGTCAGTGTCATCCGGTTACATAAAGCCCGGACTTAAGCAAATTAGCCTTTCTTACCTCCGTTTAGATATACCCTGGATGACATGACATCAATTAGTACCTTGGCGGAGTAGCCGAGAGCAATGAGTATATAACCATCCATGTGTATATCTTTTGAGACTGTTGTAAGTTTCTCCCAATCCAAGTGGATCCGTACCATCACATCAGTCGCCTTGCATTTACACAATCTGTCAAAATGGCTTCTCTCGAGCAAGCAGCACAAACCTCCCCCCTCTTCCGCCACCGCCAACTCGCACCAGCAGCAGCAGTTCGCGTATCCCCATTATGCCTCGGAGCCATGACATTCGGCAACCGCCAAGAGTCCCGCTACGGAGATTGTACTCGTGAAGACGCCTTCGCCATCCTTGACCACTTCTACAGCCAAGGAGGCAACTTTATCGACACCGCCAGCGGCTACCAAGAAGGCCAATCAGAGGTCCTAGTCGGCGAATGGATGGTAGAGCGCAAGAACCGCGATGAGATCGTGCTGGCAACCAAATACACAACCGCTTACATGACACACCACAAAGACGCCATTCAATCCAACTACGGCGGTAACAACGCCAAGTCCATGAAAGTCAGCGTAGAGCAATCCCTACGCAAACTCCAGACTTCTTACATCGACCTACTCTACGTCCACTGGTGGGACTTCACCACTTCCATTCCGGAACTCATGCACGCGCTAAACGACCTCGTCGTGGCGGGGAAAGTCATTTACCTCGGTATCTCGGATACCCCCGCCTGGGTGGTGACCAAAGCAAATCAATATGCTCGGGATCACGGACTACGTCCGTTTGCTGTGTACCAGGGGATGTGGAGCGCAGCAATGCGCGACTTTGAAAGAGATATCATTCCCATGGCCAGGGAAGAGGGGATGGCGTTGTGCCCCTATGGTGTGCTGAACCAGGGTCGGTTCCAGACTAGAGAGGGCTTCGAGGAGCGGGAGAAGCATAACCCCGGTCGCAACTTCATTCCTACCTCCGAGCATGATAAGAAGGTTTCTGCTGCTCTTGAGGACATTGGCAATGCTAAGGGCGTGAAGTTGCTCGATGTGGCTTTGGCCTATGTGATGCAGAAGTCTGTCTATGTGTTCCCGATTGTCGGTTGCAGGAAGATCGATCATATCAAGGGTAGCATTGCGAGCTTGAGCGTGACTCTTACAGATGAGGAGATGGCGAAGGTTGACAGCGCTTACCCCTTTGACTTTGGGTTCCCTCACACTTTCCTGAGTGGCTCGATGTTTGATCATTCTACTCCGAGAATGGCTGAGAAGCCCGGTGATGTCTGGCTGACCAAGATGATGGGCAAATTCGACTGGGTCGAACAAACCAAGCCGATCAAACCGGCTCCTTGAACATGCCAATCCAGCTTAAGCATTATGTTAGTATATTAATCAAAGATATACGCATATAATGAAATACCATATCCATTCTCTGGTCACAGTGCTACTTGATTTAGAATTGAATACATGTGCTCCTTATATTGTCATGGGAACTTCAAATGCATCCCCATATATAGAAAAGAAGTAGAAAAAGTGCTGATTGTAAGTACAAAGAGGAGTCTAAGTAGAATAATCTAATAGCATATCAAAGCTTTCATACCAGGCAAACAGGACCGGTCACTTCTATTGTGAATTGTACTGGCAATAGGGTTGGTTGGCTGGATTTTGGTTCATCTGGTACATGTGATACCGATGAGCATCCCCATAGTTGGGTGCAGAGGGTGGGAGCGAATGGTAGACTGGTGCCGTACCCATTGCAGGATAAGTCTGGACCCGAGGCCCCCGTCTCGCTTCAGAACAGCAGCAAGTAGTAATCGTCCAGGATACCATAGAACACAAAGACAAAGCCACGCTGAACCATATAACGGTAAATGCACGAGTTCCCCACGTGCCAGATATGTTGTGTGATTTCAGCTCAGTGGCAAGTATACCCTTCAACAGAACGAAATTGACTGTAGTGAGTGCAGCAGCTGCTAACAGGAAAATAAAGGCCGCACCGGAGACTAGGCTAATTGCGAAACGGTTGAATGTCTTGTTCATGACGATAAGAGCGGCGAGCAGTTGGACGGCTGTCAGAAGAATGGCCAGGATGTATGTAATTTGCATCCAGGTCGAGGTTGTTTTATATGCACGCAGTGAGTGTCGAAGAGCTGACGAAACATTGGTCTCCTTTCCCTCCTCGCCCATAGCTCTAAGCACATTGAAGTACGAGCCAGCTCTCGGGGACAGGCAATTTATTGTCGTGTTGCTGTTATCATTTCCACAGTAACCCATTATGCCGACCAGGTAAGTCTGGTTTAATTGGCTCCCATCCCATGTTGTACCCAATGCATTCGACGTGGAAAGATTTCGGCTATTTTGGATATCGATCTTGATGCGACAAGTATGTTAGTCTTGATGAGCGAAACTGCAATTATGCTCGAGCCTTACTTGGAGAAAGTTGAGTCTTTCAAGTTCATGACTTCCCATCTTTGTACATGCCAGACCGATCACAAGAAGACACAGTAGCGTCCCAATATTCAGCAAACACGAAGTAGTCACGAATAGGACTCGGTATAGATTCGCCATGGCTAAAGAATCCGATACTGGTGATGCTGTCTGCAAAAGAGCGTTTGATTATGCCCTGAGATGTCCTCACTGCGATAAGCCATGGTTTATAAGCTGGTGAAAACCGACTGATCGAAGAAAATTCCCTCAATATGCTTGGTAGCGAGAGAGGAAAAATTGATAGCCCCCTACTCTTGAAAACCCTGAATATCTTAATCGTGACGAGGCTCAACGCTTGATTAAAGACGTGGCTGGATTAACTAAATTAACCTAACTCAGGGCAGATAATAGGTTAATAGTCAAGCCAAACTTAAACCTGCCGAGTGGGTCAGACCCTGATAATATTGGGTAAGAAACCGAGATACGGATGCGAACTTCCTATTCGGGATAAGCCTCAGAACTTTCAGCGGCACCAAGCTTTTCACGTTCCGGTTCTTGGTAGGGATCCTCGAGACTCCACCCACTATACCAGTATGTCCGAGTACTCTCCGTGTCGGGCCACATGGGCAACGGAACTTTTCAGGCACCACATGCGCCGGGAAGTAATAGCACACCCGGACGCCCTCTGCCAAGAGGCCTGAGCCACAATTGGGGTTTAAAAAGTGAGCTTTTATGAGAGCCTGCCCCATGTATAATTGGCCAAGACAAACGATTACACTACAAAATCAGAGCCAGGCCACTTATTTGGAAACCCCTTCATGCAGAACCCCACCTATGCCCTGGCCCAGGGAAACGGATTGATTGACTGTAATCCAAGTAGGCATTGCAAAGACAAAACAAGACAAGCAGATCCTCTTTAGACGGTATGCCCACCCCCTATTCCCTAATATATAAGGCACAGATTTCCCGCTCGATCTCTGATTTTCATAACAGAGTCTAAGAATCCCCAGACATTTTATCTACACAATGGCAGACGCAGAGAAGGTTTACCGAGCTCACCCCAGAGACCTACCGACCTATGATCAAGCCACGTCAGATGAGCTTCGCAGGATCACCCAGAACACTAGCTGGAACTATTCTCTCTTTGACTGTTGTTCCCCAGGCACATTATGTCAGTAATGATTTCCCAATGCCCTTCACTATCGCAATCCCTAACCGATCCTATGTCTAGGCTTGACCAGCTGCTGCCTCCCATGCCTTGCCTTCGGCAAAACGCAATCACGACTTCGTGACCCGACACTGCAGAGCTACGAATCGATTAACGGTGATGTTAGTTCCCGACACACTTTCTACCCCTCTAGAAACTAACGCCATCCAGTGTCTGATCTGGTTCTTCCTCAGCCTTGGTCTTTCTCAGTGGATCTACCAGACTATCAGAAGAGGCGAACTGCGCAACAAGTACGGAATTGAGGGATCCTGCTGCGGCGATTGCTGTGTGAGCATGTGCTGTGGCTGCTGCGCACTCATTCAAGAAGAAAAGGAGGCTGAAATACGTACCAGACCTCAGGTTACAGGGTACCAAATGGCACCTCAGATGGCGTATCCTCAATAAGCCGGCCGTGGTTACGCAAACTTGTTATATCTGTATTTATAGTACTATACCTAATTATTGTTTTGAGTTTTGTTTTGGATTGGTGGCGTGGAATATACACACATGTATGGTTATTCCATAAACGTTCTTCTGGAGATTAAGAATATAGTACTTGTACTGTAGCGTGACTACTTAAGCTGTGGTGGTCGTTGCAGAACTTCAGTAGACACCTAAACCGATACTTCTAGCATAAAGACTCGGAATACAAGGGCAATATATCCGATGAACGACCAGAGCATTCAAAAGTATTATCAAGACCCAGAGAAAGGTTTGTCAAAGGCGCCACCGTTAGATCTTAGTGCTGACGGTGGCTTAAACGGCTCGAGGATCGTCAGGGGTACGGCGATTGAGGTAAAAGCTATTGTAAGCCGGTTTTGTTTGTGGGACTTAGCCTGATTCTTCAAACCACATGAACTACTTTGTAGCCTTCTAGGACTTTATTACTCTATGACCGTGGGCTTGTCATTTGTGCATGCAGAATTAAATCAATCCCTTTTTCCGGGGCCTTTTCCTCATTATTAGCCACGGGACCAAATTTGTAAGATCGCTTTCTGCATAGCATATCAATGTTGTTTGAAAGTTGAGTACTATTCAGGACACAATTCCCCGGGTGGAGGTTCTCTGCTGGTTAGGGCCCAGTATAAAGTCTATTACTGATTTGAAGTCCGGATATTAGAAAGCCTAGACACTCGGTCTTATCGGCTGGCAATGGGGCTCCATGTTTGCCACTTCAGAGCATCAATAGTAAGGAAACCGAAAATCTCAATACGCACCTTATGGTGATATTGTATGTAGATACTATTTGAAGTAGGAGGTTTCGCCGAGAGAGGACCCATAGGACTCTCATGGGTGGAGAAAAGTCAAAATGCGAAAACGAACTTCCCGAACGGGATTTAGAGCCCTTTTTATGTCTCCACATCCCCATATTCGTCAGTTGGAGTGCCTATTCGATTTGATTTACCCACCTCAGGGCAATTCGTGTTCGCGTTTATTCTTACTGTGTTATCAACCCAAGAATTCTATAACATTCAGATAAATCCCATAGCCTGGTTTAAAAATCAACACCTACAAGATCCTACTCCCATCTTTGTTGGATGGGCTTGTTGATGGGATTAATTCGAACATGACAGCTCGTCATTATATCCCATATTCATCTGTCAATCAGATATTTCAATGTGTTGATCTTAAGACCGCACTATTTCACTCAGCCATGGCGCAGCTGCTATTGCCGATGCCGCTTGGTCTGGTCCCCGGGGAAGGAATGGTGAATTGCTCTGACCTGGGGTAAATCCCGGCTCGGTTACCAGCGGCTTTGGCTCAGTTCCTGGAGTGAATAGCACCGGATTGGATGAGTGGTTACATCTTTTCTTTGCAAAGAATGCCAAGTTCGATACCGCGGGACTAAGTCATGATGAGTATCTGAGCTTCTTCAACCTCGCTGTGTAGGAGTACAGCGACTTCCATGAATGCAGCGGACCCCGATTAGATGGAATTCCGCAAGCTAGGTTTACGTTATCGCCACGCCTTCGTTTTATGATCGCCGAACTGACTAATTCTTCTGGTACAATTTAGAACAACCCACATTCCGACTCGAGGCACGGAAATATACTATGACAATGTGAAGGCGAAGTTCCCTGACGTTCAACAGCTCCCTCGCTTCTTCGAGTCTCCCGGTCTGGGGCACCGTTCAGGAGGAAAGGGCGGGCAGCCCACGACTGTCTTCGCTGCCTTGAGACGCTGGGTCGAGAATGGCACTGCTCCTGACACCCTACCTGTGGAGTTATCTGGGGGTAATGGCACTACATACAGCAGGATTCAGTGTCCTTATCCAGCTCAAGCGAAGTATATTGGGGGTGATGTTTCATCTGCCAATAGCTTTCGATGTGAGTAATCGTGTTGTGTACAGACTTCTTTACGGCGTCTAGGCGAAGCACGGGTGTTGGACTACTATCTTCATGAGTACACTATAAGGCTATGTATTTGAATTCTTCAAAGGGCTGTGATGTAGTCAGGAGCCCAGACAACAAACTCATTTATATTCAGACACATATAACGGAGTCACTTGAATCACATATCGCTAGGCACATTCGACTTCATACAAATCTGTCAGTCAATAGACCTTACCTTATCGAATCTTACACGCATATTATTGATTGGTCAATTGAGTTATTTGGCATTCCATCCAGATATGCTATTATCAGAGACTCTTGCTAGCTTACAAGCATTTCAGCAGCTTCAAGATCCTCTCTGAATGTGACACGCAATATACACTTCCGAGTGAAATCACAAAGCAAGCAACTGACGATCGGCCTAACGGTCCCCCATTTTCTCAATTGCTTTCTGCTTCGCTTCCTCTTCTTCGAACTCCCTTCTCATGATTCTCTGTTCTTCCTCCCACGCCCTCGTCTTCTCAATGTCCTGCAACTGCTCAAGAAAGTTAGTCCAGAATCTAGGCCTCACCTTCCTCTCCAACCATTCCATATCTTCAGGATGGTCGCGCATATGGTCCAACTCTCGGACAGGAATCCTCTGCGCACTCCTCAGCCTTCTGCGCACTACATCCCGAACGGGAGGTTTTCCTGAAGGCTCGTATGGCGCTTGTGTAAATGACACACTTTTAAGCTCAGCTTGTACGTCCTCGAACTGAAGGATTTGGGGCTTGTCGATGCTATATTCAGTCATCAGCAAAGGCCACTGCATTGCAGTTCAGTATTGAGTGTGGTGTATACAATTTACTTCCGTCCCATTCATAGCACACAATCGGTACTTTGGAGTCATCACCACTTGGAGCATTTCCATAGTCTATCAGAAAGAAACACATTCGGTGGCTGTATCCAAATTCATCACCGTAGGTGTACCATCGGTGCACATGACCGTCGAAGTCGCAATTCCACGTATGTTGACAGATGGTATCAAGCATGGTGAAGAGCTTGTCATCGTATATGTTCTTGTCACCAGCTTGGTTGGTAGAGGGTACCAGGTGGGTTAGAGTTTGGACGAGAACACGGATCGGGGGGCAGAGTGGGTGGTGGGGTAGGGTTGCGATTCGGCAGAGGGTCGAGTGACATCGTTTGTGTGATTCTTTATGAAACTGATGTATATCAAAAGAATGAGAAGGCAGAACCAAGTGGGAGGGACAAAAAAATGAAGCGCGGAGGGACAGGCATTCGTGAGATGGGATGGTGGATGGATGGACACAACCCAGCGCTTAGTGGAGGCGGGACACTAACACTTTAGTTCCTGACTAGACGCCCGTGCAGCGCCACGCGGAAACCTGTGTCCGGGTAGATGATGTGCAGCTTCACGTCTTGTTTTAATTCACATTATTTCTCCTCAGCTAATGCCTTTGGAGTCACAGGACGGGCAATCTTAAGCGTAGCATCAGAGTTTACTACAATAGGTTTTTTGGTTGGTAGTTTTGGAGACCCGTATACTCAAACTGCCACTGTTGCTAGCCCACCATTATGCATTGAATCTCAGCTCTGGGCTTTATTTTCGCTTGTTACTGCTTTATACAGACTAAAATATTACCAAGTAACCTATCTCTCGAAGAAAGCCAGTTAGCAGTGCTTCCTCTTCACAATCAAATCATTATTGGTTTTGATAAGCTGCACCACATGAAAAGCTTACACCATAGATACCAGAATCGGCAAATCGTGAATTGGTTTCTGGCACTCCCCGGTAGGAATTATGATCACCGTAATGTGCAGGCCAGTACCGTGTCACAGAGCTTGCTGAAGGATCGCTGGGCTGAATCGCACATCAATATCATTTCTGCAATCCTCATTCACTGAGTGAGAGGGACCCACCGCAACAAAGCAGACTTCCCAGATGTTAAGTTCCCTCCAAATTCTAGACGTCTCCGTGTTACGTTCACCAAGCTCTACAATCCCGACTATCATCAAGTTCTCTTGGCCGATACAGGATGTCATCGACCGGCAGTTGTGCGAATTGCGGGAATGAGGCGAAGTGGAGGTGCTCGGGGTGCAGAGGCGCACCAGAATACATTCCCGGCGATGCCTTGCCAGTTTTCTACTGCGGGGTGTCCTGTCAGGAGGCGCACCAACCCGTCCATAAAGATCACTGCAAGTCCATGCGTCGTCGAAAGAAGCTTCTGCGGTCGGCAGTCATCGCCAAGGCTGCATTTCTGGGGTACAGAGAACTTCATTTCGACGTTGACGTTACCAATATTGAGCGGCGCGACGACAATCTGTATCTTTCCATCAACCACATGATCTTGGATAGTGATTCCTTGACTCTGGGTCGTCCTTTCCCAGAAAATTTGACCGCGGACCCCAAGCATCAAGAGGCAGTCCTCACATGGCTTCAAGGAATTACTGCCTGTCCCTTGTCGTGCCGCTTGGTGACAAAGCTTTTGGCAGGTACGATTATTCTACTTCTCCAACACTCTTTGTACACGTTGGGCCACCTGAGGCTGACACCGATTAGACGTACCGTGCGAGATCACCATGATGGGGGTCAACGTTGGAAAGAGAAGCTTGACTATTCAGGTCGTTCCCCACTCTGACTCCGTTGATATTACTGGCCCGGATACTGCTGGTATACCACACCACATCTTAAAGGTCAGAGTCCGGCAGCCGGGCGATGATGAGACCTGGATTGTGGACCTTACTGGCGCTCAGTATGGTATTCAGGCTGCCCTCACCCCATATTCGAAGTATATGGCAGATCAGGAGTGTTCGATTGTGGGCAATCCAGAGCCATACAATATGACTGAGACCTGGGATTTGGATGTCGCGTCAGCCAAGTTAGAGGATGTATTTGGAGAAATTCTGAGCTCTGTGCGTCAGCCACGTCTGCGTTTTGCTGCTTTCGTCGATACGGTTGACGAAGAGATTTTAAAGGGGTCACCCGAGGAGTTCGTTCATAAGTTGGCACAGTTCCGAGTAGCACTGAAGCAGTACATGTTGAACGAACCCCAGAATCCTTGAGGTTGTCTACTAATGTTCATATCATATGGCATGAATCTGAAGAGCCAAACTACTTGGGATGCACCCACGCAGATTAAGTTGAAAGATTAGTCCATCAATCTGTTGCAATGAATAGAGAAGATGTAGTCACTCATGGCTGGGCATAATAAATTGGGTCTTATGTTTCTTACTACATAGTTTCACTGCATGCGATGGTCTACTGGTAGTAGGTACGTAAGTGAGGATTCCTGGGACAGTGATCGCACATTTCCTCATCAAATTAATTCCATTCACGACAGAAGATGTGCTTGCAAGTTGATGCCTAGTTGCGAAACAAGAAAAAGTCGATCATGCCAGACAGAGCCCCAGATAGCATAATTAAACTAAATTCTCCATCCGAAACAACCATATCCCACATACATGTCAAAATCCCATCTTTCAAAGTTGACAAAGGCCGCTAAGAACCACAGCCAAAATAAGATAGGATTTCAAGCTGGGCACCGAGCTCGACACGGATCCAGAATTCTTCCCAGAGCTACAACCAACTGTCTGGAAACGGTGACCCTCCGTAAGACAGTCCATCAGGGTCGACTGGGTGTCCTTGGTCGCGTTGCAGTAAGCGGCACAGTTATCCTCGCCGTAGTAGCTGTACTGGTTGCTCTTGCAACAATTCACCAAGTCGGCGTATGGGTCTTGCGTCCGGTTGAGTCCTTGTTGCCAGATAGCAATGGCGCAATAATATGGATAGCTCAGTGTAGGAGTTCCACTATGGCCGGCACATCGGTCCTGTTCCATAGTACTGTTTGTGATGTTCATGATTGCGAGACGATTCCCGAGTTGTTCTGTTGGCTTGTATCAGGGGAAATACCTTGGACATACTCGAGGGACAGATACTTACTATAGGGGTGTAAATCCGTTAGTATAGGTTAGGAAGAGTCGGGGTATGTAACACAAAGTAGAATGGAGCGGGTAACAAGAATCGAGTATCGAGCAATTTTGGGGAGGGGTGGCGTTTTATAGCTTTTACTGGAGATATTCTTAGTCTCAAATTCACGCAGCGAATTTTCACTGACTGACTTCTAAACACAATATTGACTCTCTGATTCACATCAAGCCTATTCTGAAAACTTTTTCATGATTCACCTGTTCTTTTAATGCTCATGTTACTTTCAAGACAAGTCAGCGTGATATACTGTAGCCTTGAACAATTTCAGAAGGCTAACGGCAACAGGGTCGAATCCTTTGGGCTGTATTACTTACTCCAAAGATTATTAGACCAATATATCCGGCCCTACAGGGTTGCATTTCTAGGCTGTGCTACGACCGTACGGAAGTAACCGACCTCACTCGTGAAATTCAAATGGTCCATGTGGTAAGTGGGTCGCAGGATGGCGGCCTTTAGGCTTTGCCCAACTTCGAGGCCCTGCAGTGCGGGGAAGCTGGCTGGGGCAGAAGCCTAGCATCTTGGCAAACTACCCCTTTCCAATCCAATGTGCACTAATGCATATGGAAAGGGTTGGAAAACTGCCTTCCATCTCCAAGTCCACCTGAGATATAGTCAGCTATGAGACCTTTTGGATATGCATCCAGTCACTAACACAATCAGATTTAAGCCTGTAATGGCTACTGAGAATGTGCTCATCTCTAAGCTGTGTTCATACTTCATATGACTTGTCGGAAGAGATAGATGACATTCTGAGACAGAAAGACTTGGTAGATGAGATGGTCATATGACGTGGTCTAAATGACAGGGCTCTCTGGTAGGCCGCACGGTCATTTGAGTCATTAATTCATTTCTTGGTATTTTCACTAATGCATGGAAAACAGGCCTATGCAACCACAACGCAACAACTACATGAACGACGATGTAACGCCATAATCAATATAGCCCTGTTGTCAGCGGTGACCGACGCTCCTATTTCGTAACACTAAAAGGCTTTAACAGAGTAGTCTGTGGGAGTACATAATATAAGACTTGCTACAATGGCAGGCCTAACTCAAGACTCTCAACAATTAAGGCATTCCTCCCCCGCGCGAGACCATGATGAAAATACTAAAAATTTCTTTGACTCTTTTCCTGGCACTTACGGCGGCTGCCCTGGCGGCGCCATCACCTTACACTCAGGAACATAAATACGCCCGAGTCACATTGCAGCAACAAAAGATCACCTCCGAGAAGCAAATTTTGGTGAAGGATAGCTCTACTGGAGACGTACTTGGTACCGCCTGCTCAAATGCCCTGATAACCAGGGCATTTTCCGACTTCGGTATCGTCGCAGATGTTGGACCTAACGGCGACGGCAATATTACTGCCGGGCCTTCCACATTTGTTGTTCACGAGGATCCCCAGTACTCCGGTGGTATCACCTGTTACAGAATGTACAATGATTATGAGTCGTTTGTAGTATGCGACGGCGTTCCTTTGCCCACCACTGTTCCATTGGACCCTATAAAAGGGAACGACATACCCCCTTGTTTCAGTGACACAGTCGACATGACTTTACAGCGAGCAGCGGAGACCATCCACGTTGTGGATACTTTTCCAGTGCCTGGTTCTGAAACAAACTCCACAAGTGCTGTGTCTACGAGCAATTTGGAGCAGCGACAAACCGGCACGTGCAGTCAGTGGTCACCTGCTACAAGGAAAGTTGGAGACGGCGATCCCCATCAGAACTATTGGCGGAAACAGTTGAGCGTGAGTCAACAACGCACTTTCTTTTAAACCGACAAGAGAGACTGATGTGCGACGAATAGGAGAACCTGGATTGTGGGAACGCAGACCATTGCACTGTTGGCGCAACCCAGTCAAAGTCGTATACAATCGGATGGACGGCGACTGCAGATGCATCACAATGGATCTCGGGCGGCTTTGCAGTGCAGGCGAGCTGGACAACTGGGCTTGACTATCAATGCACTGCTAGCTCCCATCAGACAGTCTGTATCTGGTACAACACCGCTCATACTGCGTACACTGTTCAAAACGGACTTTACAACGTTTGCACGGGATTCAACCCTAACAATGGTGCCGGCTTCGTCATGTTCTCGCCAAACCAGAACAACAAGGGTGGTGGATATTATTGTGTAATTGGCACATGTCGCAGCCAGGGGCAAAATTACTGGGACAAAAGTGGTCCTGCAGGTGGACCTTGACTGATCTCAACTGTTACCAATGACGTAATTATGGTAGACATGAGGCTTGTTTTTGTGGAGTGTGTGGATATTAGTGAAACAACTGCATTAGAAAATGGTAATCCTGAATCTCTCAGTATAAGCCGTCGACTATGGCAATACTTCGTAGACAGATCAGCCCTAGATATGCCATGTGGGGCAATGTGTTTAGAACAGCACTTTCAGGGTTTTCCGTAAGGCGTCTTTCTGGAATCTGCGCCTCAAACACACTAGGCTCAATCATCTAGGTGGTGGATAGGTATATTCAGCCCTTTCATTGAACGTATATTGTGGAACAATATCCCACCGAGCCCTGTATTGCTCCGTATTTGGTAAATTCATCGGGCAAGTATTCCCGGACGCAAGATGTTGGGGTTCCTTTCCGGTACAGATAAAACAGCTAGTTCTATGAAATTCCCTCTAGTTACATATTATAGTGCTTAATTCTATCAACCGTACCTGCGAACATATTGTGATATAATAAAGTACAAAATCAAGAGTCCATGACTCAAATTAAGCGACACCTCTCCTCCGTTACTCCAACCCATGTAATTCCAAATACTTCGCACAAGCGGAGTAACCAGTGCAATATACGGTAGGCTAGAAAGTCAGCTTCGGACATATTAGAACATAGATATGAAAGACCGTACTTACGTCCACGGACTTTGCACGATACTGCGAAGAATAGTAACGGTCCTGGAAGGTGTTGCCGAAGAGGAAAAGGGAGGAATTGACGTAGTGGCTTTTTGACCGGTACTCATTTTGTTTTATCCGATAGTAGAATATAATAGGACCGCTCGAGGAAAGGAAGGATATGCTGTGTGGAACAGTTGCATCCAGGTACCAATGGTAGAAAATCAAAAGTCTGCTGGCTACGCGACGTAGAAGTTCTTAGTAAGCTCTTGGCAGGTAAATATACGATTACTAAATAAATCTGGTATCGAAAAGTTTATATTAACCTGAGCTTGAGCTTCCGAGATAAGAGTTAAATCAAGTTTCTTTAGGGCATCGATTTGAAATCCAAATTTTTCGTGTGTGACATGACCAGATATGCACTCATGAGGGGCATGAAGTGTGGCGTTGAATCAGTCTCGTGAGATGACGTTAAATCAGTCGCTCTAAACAGGCACTTTCCTTCAATTCCTCTGCGTAGCATCTCTTTCGAAGGCTGATATTTTTACTTCACTATATTAAAAACGAGGTCTTACATATAGATAAGATTACAGATATGATCTTCCCCTGATCTTTCCCCGACCATCGTAACAGCCGATGATTTCCCCATGGCGTAGCCCCTGTGGGGACCGGTCGGTACCAACTAGTAAGCATCACTGGGAGCTAAACCATAAGTGTATAGCTGTGCTGCTGCGCCAGTTTTACCTGGCGGGGGTTCCCTTTCTAGGCCCCTGTGAGTTGTCCATCTATATATGCCGGATCACCCGGGCCATCCAAGTTTCCCTTCCATTAAATAAATTTGGCCTTATATCACACCACTCTACAATGGCCACAATCAACGGCCGCTGCGACCCGGCCTTCACTCGGGTGCGCGATCTCCTACAGCAATTGATCAACAATGAAGAAGAGCTAGGAGCCTCCATCTGTGTCAACATCGACGGCCAGAACGTAGTTGATCTCTGGGGCGGCCACGCAGACCCAGCCCGAACCAAGCCATGGGAAAAAGACACAGTAACTGTGGTATGGTCCGTTTCAAAAGTCATCACCGCCATCGCAACCAACATCCTCATCGACCGTGGCCTCTTAGACCCGAATGAGAAGGTCTCTAAATACTGGCCCGAGTTCGCGGTGAACGGCAAGGAAAATATCCTGGTATCACAGCTTCTCAGCCACACCTCGGGAGTATCCTCGTGGGAGCTTCCCAACACCTTAGACGATATTTACGATGCAAAGAGAGGTGCCGATAAACTAGCCCGACAGGCCCCCTGGTGGACGCCCGGCGAACGTTCCGGCTACCACGTAGCCAACCAGGGCCACTTGCTCGGCGAACTTGTTCATCGCATCACCGGAAAACCGCTGGATGAGTTCATCCGCGACGAGCTTGCCAGTCCGTTAGCTGCGGACTTTCAGCTCGGTGTCCCAGAAAAGGACTGGTCGCGCACAGCAGACGTTTCCCCGCCGCCGCCATTGAGACTTGATGGTGTTGATCCGCAGAGTGTTATGTTCAAGAGCTTCGCTAGTCTGCCTATGCCGGCTGAAGAAAGTATGGGTCCTGGGTTTAGGAAGGCGTTGATTGGTGCGACGAATGGATTCTCTAATGCTCGTGGGATTGCGCGCATTGCGTCGGTCGTCTCGCTTGGAGGCACGGTGGATGGAAAACAGTATCTTTCGCCTGAAACTATTGACCGCATGCTGGAGGAGCAGATCAGTGGGCCGGATTTGGTCTTGATGTATCATTTGCGTTGGGGTCTTGGTGTTGGGTTGCCCGTCCCGGAGACGTTTCCTTGGTTGCCTGACGGTCGCATTGCTTTTTGGACGGGCTGGGGTGGTTCGCTAGTTGTTATGGATGTTGAGCGACGGATGACGATTGCCTACGTGATGAATAGAATGGGATCAGGCACGTTGGGTTCAGATAGGACGGCGGCTTATGTGCGGGCTGTCTATGATTGTCTGGCGTAGGTGTATTAGGTCTCCCG